TCCATTTGTCCGAAGCTGTGGTGTCGTGGGGACCCTATGGTTCCTGATGGCTGGCAGTTGGGCTTCACCGGGCACCTCGGGAAGTCCGGCTTTTCCGCGCTGGGGGTTCCTCCCGTACCCCCCGCGTGTTGTGCAGGCCTTGTATAGGCGGCCTGCTTCCCGACACAGGTCGCAGTTCTTGGACTCCTTGCAGTCGTGAGTCAGGTGGCCCTCCTATTTGCAGCTCCTGCAGCGATCACTTTGCAGGCCGCTGACCTGTGTCCTGCCCTCCAGCAGGTTCGGCACACCCTCTAGGCTGTCCCTTGTATGTCAGTTAGCCTCGGCTCACTCTGTTCGCAATACTGGAGGTTGGATGGTTGTTTTTTTCCCCACTGGCTTCCAACTTGAGGATCACTTTGAACTGAGATAGTAGGAAATGCAGATGCTGGAGAATCTGAGATAACAAGGTGTAGAGCTGGATGAACACAGCAGGCCAAGCAGCATCAGAGGAGCAGGAAGGCTGACGTTTCAGACCGAGATCACTTTGACCTGTCGCTTTCTGTTCCACTACATCGGTGCTGCCTCGTTCCAGCTGCATGTACCTTCCCAGGAAGGTTAGGACATCTGCTGCCGGGCCGTGGGAGTCATATAAGTGGATTGTCATAACTCGGCTCCTCCGTACAGGGAGAACAAACAATGCTATCGCAGACAGGATGGAGAGGATACCCTCACTTCCTTTCTCCTTGAATATCTTCAGGAATGCTCACATTGCTTCACACTCCTGAAGGTCACGTCGATGTACCCCCACTGGGGAGATCCTGCAGACATAAAATATCTGCTGAATGGAACCCACAACAATCCAGGAGGACTCTCTTCACGAAGGAGGTTGATCAATGATCCTTCCTCCACCTTCTTCACAGCATCCCTGAGTGTGTTGCCAACTCCCAGGCCTGGGGTGTGGACAATAGCAGAGGCCTTAGCTCTGGTTGGCTGGCCGGTCACTGAATTGGTGTTTGGCTGAAGGCAGCGTAAGGATTCACCAATTGCAGCTCAGCTCAATCGACGTTCTTCCAGGTTCTGCTCACCATCCAGCGATGAGAAAGCCACTCCCACAATGCAAACGAGCGATGTCCCATCTGGTTGTATAGAAATAAATATTCACATCGAATTATTCTGAGGAAGCAGAGCGTTTCAAATTCGGGGCATTTCTCTCGTTGCACTGAGAGTGATCACAGTGTGGAATAAGCCTTTGGTTGCGTTGCAGCAAGAAATTCCTCTGATCTCGTTGACTGCTTCAATTGAAGTTGAAATGCAGAATATCACCTGTTCGCAGTGTTTTACCGGAAGCAGGACATGTCTGTTGTCATTGAGTCGGATGCAGTGAACTGCAATTTGTGAGAGAATTTGAACATCGCAATTAACTGTCTACACCACTAGATGTCAGCGCGCATCTGTGATAGATGTTGAAGATGAGGGCTGAAGGAAGAGTGACCTTGCAGACACTCTGAGCAATTGTCAGTGCGAGAAGCTTGTCACAGAAACACGTCAAAACTCATGTCCTTCTGCAACTTCAACAAGAAGTCGGCTCTGAGTTAGGTGTGAAGCAGGCATTATTCGAGCTGTTTACTCGGACAATATTTATTCCTGGTTCCTCAACAGATCTTCGTGGACAATTACTTTCGCCTCTGTTCGACAATTACTTTCGCCTCTTTTCTTGCAATCTGATAATGTTCCGAATTTGCAGAGTCCTCCTGCTGTTTTTCACTCTGATGTCCACGGGGGTGATTGGAGAAGGCGAATTGATGCAATTTCCTCCGCGGATGGTTGTTTGTGAATTGGGAATTACGTTCATGAATTGCTCCATTGCCAGGACATTTAACATCGTGTATTGGTACAGGCAGCTTCCAAATTTGCCACCCCAGCATCTGATGATGGCCAAAAGAGTAGTTGATCAGAGTGAGAGGGTCACCGCTTCAATCAGTGGAGATTATAAACCCCAGTAACTTGGCTATGAAAGATATCAGACTTAATGACACCGCAACCAACCTCTGTGCCAATGAGGGCACAGTATCACAAACAGCGGGAGAGTCCATACGAAAACCTGCACAGAGTTCGAATTCTGCTGTGCTGATTTTGATGTATCTGTGTGACTAATTCTGGACTCCAATAATCCACGATAAGGGAAATTAGAGTAAAATACGACAGAAAGTATGGAACAGCAAAAGTTAAAGATGTTCAGACATGAAGACAATTGGATATGCGGATGGAGGTGAAGAAAGTATATTTTGCAAGGCAGTAACATTGATGGAGAAAAGCGAAAGGAGATACAGCAATAATACTTGCAGAGGATAGAATAGTGAGAAATTGTTGAAGAAGAAACGGAAGGAAGTGAAAAAAACGAACATGATGCACAGAGTTGAAAGATCAGGTGAAATCACAATTGAAGGAAACATGAAGGAAATATGGTGGCCTTCCCTATAACATGGTGTAACTGTCACTGAATACGCCACTATCAACATCCTAGCGGTTTAATTGATTGGAAACTAAACTGGACTCACCACATAAACACAATGGCTACAAAGCAGGTCAGAGGCTAGGAATCCTGCGGCGAGTAAAATATCTCCTGACTCCTCATCTACATGGCACAGGTCAAGAATGTGATGGAGTGCTCTCCACTTGTCTGGATGAGTGCAGCCCCAACAGCACTCAAAAGCTTGACTCCATCCAGGACAAAGCAGCCTACTTGATTGGCACTGCATCCACAAGCATCTACTGCCTCCACTACCAACGCCCAGTGTGTACTATCTAACAGATGCTCTGCAGAAATTCACCAGATGGCACCTTCCAAACCTATGAAGACTTTCATCTGGAAGAACAAGGGGCAGCAGATATATGGGAACCCCAGTATTTCTAAGTTCTCCACCAAGACGCTCACGATTCTGACTTGGAAATATATCGCTGCTGTTTCACTGTCACTGGGTCAAAACACGTGAATTCCCTTCTTTAGGGCATGGTGGGTCAGCCTACAGCAGGTGGACTGCACCATTGCATGATTCAACTCATCACGAAATTCTCAAAGGAAACTAGAAATGGGTCATAAATGCTGGTCAGCCAGTGACGCCCACAACCCACAAATGAATAAATAATAAAAAAAAAATCAAAGTTACGCAATCCAATCATAGAATCCCTACAGTGTGGAAGCAGGGCATTGACCCCATCGAGTCTACAGCAAGCCTCTAAAGTACATCCCACCCAATCCCTTTAACGCTGCATCTCCTATGGCTAATGTACTTAACCTGTGGACTGTGGGAGGGAACCAGAGCACCCGCAGGATATCCAAGCAGCCAAGTTGAGAGTGTGCAAGCCCCCCAAAGACTGTCGCCACAGTCTGGTATCGAACCTGGGTCTCTGCTGCTTTGAGTCAGTAGGGCTAACCACTCAGTCACTGTGCCTTCATCTCAAGAACACTTCCTGAAAATTCATCATTTGGTATTATCCCACTTATAAGTTGTTAATTTCCTGACACCGCAAATTTCCTCGAGATCCCGCCAGAGAACAGTATAATCACACTCACAGAAAATGTAAACTTGTCATCTTGTAGACTCTTTGAGTCATCCTCACGACTTGCCTTCTCATTAATTTTTGAGACGTCTGTATATCTGGTAATAGTACATAAGATTCAATCAGGATTTGGATCGTGCATGTCTGCTGTTTCACCATTCCCATTCAGATGAAGGAGGCTTTACCATAATGTGTTTTTTTTAAAGTCCATTGTCCTTGTATGGGCGGGGCAGGCAATGCTGGCATCCATCTCTAATAGTCCGTGACCCTGTGGCGGTGTGGTCTCGATTTGACACACTGCAGTGCATCTGATATCGATACAGGAGTTACATTTACATTGACAACAAGTAAAGTAAATCAAATCTGGTTACAACGGATCTTACTAGTAAATGCAGCAAAAGCAACATTCGATTCTACTGCTTCGTTCATTGGAAATTTGCTTATTTTGTTTATTTATTTGATTACTTTTCTCATTATTGTGTCCAATCTCTCCGACCCACTGGCCCTCTGCATCAGCTGCGGGGAGGTGTCAAAGTCCGAGAGCGCCTTTTAGGTGGGGAACCACAGTTCTGACACTCGAACCAGATGAACTAATTCCCTTCTCTGGTTTTGCTTACAGAAATAATAACTACTGCAGGACGACGTCCGACTTAATGTGTGTCCAAAATCCTGTTTGTCCGTGAACAAATTTATTTTGTTCCGGAAATAACTGCACAGAGGTCGACATCCCGTCACCAAGTCACCCTTCGTTTACATGTGCACACTATACCGGCTTTGGCCAGGCAGCTCGAGTCAAACCCTGAAGTGATGAGATTCAGCATCGTCTGTTTTCACCTCTCGCCCAGGGCTCCCTGACTGGCAGAAGTTAACAACCCAAATCAAGGATCTCATTGTCAATGGATCCACCTGGCTCCAAACGCTCCAGTTCCCTCAGCAAAAATAACAAAGAACTGCGGTTGCTGGAAATCTGAAACAAAAACAGAAACAGCTGTGGAAACTCAGCAGGTCCGGCAGCAACTGAGAAGAGAAAGCTGAGTTAACATTTTGTGCCCAGCAACCCTTCTTCAGAACTTTGTTCCTTTCTTACAACTGCCATTATATGGATTGGGACTCAAAGGAGCTTGAAAATAAGAAGTACTGCAGTTGCTGGAATCAGAGACAACACAGTGTGGAGCTGGAGGAACACAGCAGGTCAGGAAGCATCCGAGGATTTCCTCTGATGCTGTCTGACCTGCTGTGTTCCTCCAGCTCCACATGCTGTTGTCAAAGGACCTTGAAACTGCTTTGTTCAAATTAAAAGCAATGGATCTTGAAACTCATTGGCTGTCACCTGATGTGTTTGCGAACAATGAACCAATGAGTAGAGATCCTGAAATTAGTCAACCTCTTCGCAACTCTTGCCGAAAACCACCTTATCTTCGGCCAGTTCTGCTCACTTTCACCGTGATCTCTCTGCAAACATGTCGCCTGGAGCTATGTGTTTACTCCTCACAGCTGCAGCTCTTGTAACCAGTAGGTTGAAAAATTATCTATTTTTGTGCTCAGCTCTTTGCCGGGAATTACATTTAGTCGAGCAGTTCGTGCAACATGGAGGCAGAAATATATTCTCTCCATATCGACAAGACTTGTATCGAAACATGTCCCCAGCAATTAACAGAGTTTGGTAGAAATTAGCGTCTGTACTTGAGTGATTGACAGTGAAAGAGTTAAACTGGAAATCCATACAGGACTGAGCCATCAAGATGATTCCACAGAGGGAGAGTTTAAATCCACCAGCAGTTTTCAGTTTTCTCTTCAAGTTTCAGGGAACGAAATGGGAAATTACCTCCTCGTACGAAATGGATTCTAATTCAGTTTCCCTGATTTATTTCTCATGTTAGTGATCAAGGTAAGCGGGCTATTTCTGGGCGATAGAATATTGAAGTGCCTTGTTTAATTTTCTATAAATCCTGGTTCTTACAGGACTTTGTCGTGGTGATTCTGTCTCACAAACAGCGGCTGCAATTTCAGTGAATGAGGGGGATGATGTCCAGTTATTCTGTAATTACTCTACAATCAGCAACAATCCTGACCTGTTCTGGTATCGTCAGCATACCAGCGGCTCCATGTATTTTGTGCTCCTCAAAAACCAATATAGCGAGACACCAGCGAGTTTTCTCCAGGACCGGCTTTCCTCGGATTTTGATCACGTGAACTGCACTATCCAGCTGAGAGTGTTGAAAACAGAACTGTCAGACTCCGCTGTGTATTACTGTGCACTGAGCCCCACAGAGACTTAGAACTGGGCTGACCCAGCACAAAAAGTCTCAGGGCGCCACTGAGCACGGCACTCCGTCAGACAAACAGTGAGATATGAACGGATCTGAAGTGGTTCCCGAATTGATGGCGATATTTCAGACTTCTCAATCGGACACAAAACTTTAATCATTAGAAAGCTATTATTGAAGTGAACTAATGCCACCAGTTTCGTCAATTTAAAACAAATAATTTACGTTGTGTCTTTCATGATGTTCCAAAATATCACTCTTACAGCGAAGAAGCAATACCAAAAATTCAGCAACTGGTTCTGATCCAGCAAAATCCTCCAGTAAAACACCGAACTGGGTTTGATTGACAATGACCTGGCACAGGATTATAGTAATCAAACGCTGCAGCAAACTGAATAACGTCAAACACGTTCTGGTTTATTTCCCCTCTCTCTTCACGTTAAAGTTCCAGAAAGACAAGTGAAAGATGCAAATGTCCAGGATAATGCAGTCTTGCGATAAAATATCAGGAAGGAAGTGGTATGTAACTTATATCTGAACGACACTAATCAATTAAAAGCATTTTATAGCGGCTGATTAATGAGTCAGGGCCGCCAGTGAAAGTCTCAGTCACTTGAGTCTTTTGCTGTTCGGCTGGACGGAAATGAACATTTTTCATCCTCTGTGTAAATTTGTTCATTCTTTGCTTGCAATTCAGATCTGAACATTTCAGTTGTGCAACGACCTGCGGGTTCCACTTATCTCTATGGCGACATTTGAGACAAACCGAATCCTGTTTTGATAGTGAGTCGCAAAAGAGACATTCCTGACTTTGGGTGATCGAATGCAGTGAAATCTGTTTCTGCACATAACAGGATGCACGTGGGACGTGGCATTCCTCAGGATATAGCACATTCTGCACAGTCAAAATGCCACTTTCAATGTAGAACGGGTGAAAGCTGTTGATCTGGATCACACATTCGAGGTGACATGTTGAGAAGTGAACAGTCGCGGAAGTTTATGATAGGCACCTTCACAGGTAGTTTATAGGAGTGCTCAGTCTTTGTCTCAGTGCGCCATTGTACAGTGATGCATTGCAGTGTCTGACAGTTCAGTTCTACCATCACGAACAATGTCATAACTTCTTGTTGATTAATTTAAACGGATAAGCCGGCAGTGACAGTCGATTATATCACAGTACAGCACAGAAACAGTCCTTTCGGCCCACCATGTCTCTGCTGTCTCTGTTGCCGTTCTTAACTATCCCTATCCACTTACCCATGGTCTGTATCTTTTATTCCTTGCTGATTCATGTAATTGCTAAATACATCTTAAACATTGCTATTGTATCTGCTTCTAGCACCTTCTCTGCTGGCACCAAACAGTCTCTGTGTGAAAAAAATGTGACTCGCACATTTCCTTTGAACTTTTCTCCTCTCACTTTAGACCTAAGCCCCTTAGTATTTGACATTTTCTGCGGGGAAAAACGTTCCGGAACATCTACACTAATCATGCTTTTTATAATTTTATATACTTCTATCAGGTCGTCTCTCACTTCTGACACTAATGCAAAAGTAATGCAGGTCTATGCAGCCTCTCCTTATAGCTGATACACTCCGACCAACTTAACATCCTAGTAAATCTCTTTTGAACACTTTCCTATTGTGTGGCGACCAGTACTGCACAGTCAGTGGTGGTGCCACTGATAGCACGTAGAATGCAATTTTCGTGTTTAACCTCTCACGGTGTTAGTGTCATGCTACGCCATCAATTGCAAAAAGCAATGATCCCCTTGTATATTCCCACCTTACTCCTGGATTCCATACAAAGTTTTATTTCACAGACCAGTTATCCTCAGTGTAACAAAAGGAATGATCTCACAGCATAAAACCTGATTCGGAAAACTGACAATTCATTGTAATAATGTTTCGGTTCAAAAAAAAGTGCTTTTTTTTCACCTTTCAAATAAGGCTGCATTTTCTGCGGCTGTTCCTTCGTACATCTTCCTCTTCAATATATTTTCTGAGCACTGTTGTGACTCTGGAACACCAGAGACATCGTTGTGTCCCTTTGAACTCTGATGGTGAGGACAGAATGATATTACACGTGCTTCTGTCACAAGAATGTATCAAACTATCTTCCATTCCAAACGCGACAACAACTTATTTATTTTCGATTCTGCATTTTGGACGTTGCCCAGTGGCGATGATCATGTTTTTCACAGCTGCACTATGGTCAGCTCTGCAAGAGACTTTCTCGCCACTTCACTTAAACTTCACACGTTGAAGTTTTTTGGAAATCTGAGCGGTTATAAAGATCACCACATAACAATCACTCAGAAAATCGAAACGCACATAGTTAACGGCTGCAGCAGGTGTGGCTGTATTAAAGCAGAGCATGTAAAACATACAAAAGGTGGAGAAATCCCTGAGACTGGATGAGGTGTACACTGGAACTCGTGAGAAACTGGAGACGTGATTGCTGGCCCCTTTGCTGAGATATTTGTATAATCATTAGTCATGGGTGAGATGCCGGAAGACTGGGGTTGGCTAACCTGGTGTCATTAATTCGGGAAGGTGGTAAGGAAAAGCCAGGGTAATATCGACTGATGAGCCTAACATCAGTGGTGGGCAAGTGTTTGGAGGGGGAGTCTGAGGGACAGAATTTATTTGGAAAGGAAAGCATTGATTAAGGACAGTCAACATAGCTTTGTTGTTGTGGAAATTGTGTCTGACTAACTTGATTCAGTATTTTGAAGAAGTAAGGAAGATGATTGTTGAAGGCAATGTGGTGAACACTGTTTATATGGTCTGCAGTAAATCGTCGGACAAGGTTGCTTATGATAGATCGTTTAACAAGGTTAATCAGGAAGAACCACCCTTTTGGATACAAAATTGGCGAGAAGGTAGGAATGTTGGAGGGTTGGGTTTCGGAATGGAGGCCTGTGACCAGTACTGTGCGACAAGGATCTGTGCTGGGTCCACTGCTTTTTGTCATTTATATAAATGATTTGGATGAGAATATAGGAGGATTGGTTAGCAAGTATGAGATGAAATCAAAATTGGTCTTGTAATGCGCAGTGGACAAGTTTATCTCAGATTACAATGGAACCTTACTCAAATGGGCCAATAGGCCGAGTAGTGGCATGTGCAGTTTAATTTTGATAAATGCGAAATGTTGCATTTTGTTGAGGCCAATAAGCCTGGGCGTTTGCCCTGAAGTGCGTGGGTCCTGGTGATTCATGCTGAACAAAGGAACCTTGGGATGCAGGATCCAAAGTTACTTGAAGGAGGAGTCGCAAGTTGACAGGGTCGTGAAGAATGCATTTGGCATGCTTGCCTTAATCGGTCAGGAGGTTTGTAGTTGAGAGATCATAGTGTGGGTGTACAGGACATTGTCGAGGCCACTTTTTGAATATTGCTTTCAATTCTGATCTCTCTGCGGCAGTAAAGATCTTTTTAATCTTTAAAGTGTTCAGAAAAGTTTACAAAGATGTTGCTGGGATTGGAGGATTTGATCAAGAGGGAGAGGCTGAATAGGTTGGCGCTATTTTCCCTGGAGCATCGGAGGCGGAGGGGGTACCTTGCAGAGGCTTATAAAATCATGCGGGGCATGGATAGGGTGAATAGCCAAAGTCTTTTTCCCAGGATATGAGTGTCAC